CGAGTTGATGAGTCTCTCAATTTATTGCCATATGGATAGTTTCTTCTTTTTTCCCAAACACTGCTTCAGAGACTTATGCATTTGTAATTTTCTATAACCTTCAAAACCCTTTACGCGAAGATGTCTAAAGAAATAACAACGAGCTTTTCATTTGATGTTTAACACCCTTTGCTACATGCAAGTAATCCAGCCCCTTTTCTTCATCTTTCTAATTAATCAGTAACTCCTTTTTATAGATGAGAAGAACTATCGAATTGAAAATGTAGAATTTTTAGGAAAATAAACTCGGTCAAGTCACTGGCCGAGGTCAGCACAAGCAACAGCAGCCAGAGCCAACATACAATTCCCACAACGACCAAGGAAACAGTATGAACCAGGGTTATTACGACAGTAACCAAGGTGGATATCAGCCCCCATCTGGGCCAGGAAGTGCAGGCTACAATCCTTATGGTCCACAGGGAAGCTACCCACCCCCGCAAGGGGGTTACCCTCCCGCTCCAGGAGGTTATCCTCCGCAACAAGGAGGATACCCACCACCTGGGGGTTATCCTCCACAAGGAGGATATCCGCCTCAACCCGAACAAGGAGGATATCCAGTAATGCCACAACCAGGTGGCGGAATGCCACAACCAGGTGGTTACCCACCAAATCAAGGTGCGGCCCCGCCAATCGGCTTTAATCTTGGCTATCCCCCACAGGGACCAAATAACCAATTTCAAGGCGCCGGCGGATATCCTCCACAAAGCGGTATGGGCTATCCGCCACAACCAGGATATAACCAGCCATCGCAGCCTGGTTATCTACCACAAGGACAATTTAATCAAGGAATGGGCTATCAACAGGGTCCACAATATGGTGGATACGGACAGCCAGGTTGGTCCTCTCCAAAAATCTATAAATCTCTGTACAAGTCGTTCCTGTAACGAGAATTGAGTACTCTTGAACTTGACTAAAAGTGATCGATAGTTTGTTGTGTCTCTCTTATGTTCTGCGTTGTTTGCACGCGGGCACATCTCGCTCTTCCGTAGCTCATTGATGGCCCGCGGATGATGGCGCAATCCGTCCTCCCACTCCTAATGCTACTCTTTACCTGCAATCTTCTTTACTTTTTTTGAAAAAGGAAAAAAGCTCTCTATCGCAGCTTTGCCAAGTCTTGCAGAGTATAGCTCAATTTTTCCTAAAATTCCCGACATACAGTTAACTTTGTTAGGAACCTTACTCTCTACTATATTCTCCAGAGCAAATTTTTGGAAGTATGGCTGGAATCATTTTTTGATCGTTTTTTAAAATCTTTTTTAGACTACTTTATTTCCCTCATCGCCT